CACGAGACCCTCCTCTGGCACCACCGCCTTGGCCACCCCTCCCTGCTTCGGCTCAGAGGCATGGCCTCGCGAGTCCTTGTGTCTGGTCTTCCCCGGTCTCTCCCTCCCCTTCCTCCGGGCCCTGGCCCCACCTGTGTCCCCTGTGTCGAGGGGCGTCAGCGTGCTGCCCCTCACTCCTCCCAGTTTCCTCCCACAGAGGCCCCGTTGCAGACGCTTCACATGGACGTGTGGGGCCCAGCCCGCGTCCGTGGACAGGGTCAGGAGCGCTACTTCCTGCTGGTGGTTGACGACTACTCGCGTTACACCACAGTCTTCCCCTTGCGCAGCAAGGGTGAGGTCACTGAGGTGCTGATCGACTGGATCCGCGCAGCTCGTCTCCAGCTTCGGAGGAGCTTTGGCTCTGACTTCCCTGTTTTGCGTCTGCACTCGGACAGAGGTGGAGAGTTCTCCTCCGGCCTCCTGAGTGCCTACTGTCGTGTGCGAGGCATCCGTCAGACCTTCACGCTTCCGGACTCACCGCAGCAAAATGGGATTGCTGAGCGCCGCATTGGCATGGTCATGGACGTCGCTCGTACGTCCATGATGCATGCGGCTGCTCCCCATTTTCTGTGGCCGTTTGCGGTCAGGTACGCTGCGCACCAGATCAACCTCCACCCCAGGGTCTCTCGACCGGAGACCTCCCCAGCCCTGCTGTGGACGGGGAAGGTTGGCGATGCGTCGGCGTTCCGGGTCTGGGGATCTCGGGCGTTTGTTCGCGACCTGTCTGCGGACAAGCTGTCCCCTCGTGCTTCTCCCTGCGTCTTCCTGGGGTTCCCCCCCGACGCCCCTGGGTGGCAGTTTTACCACCCCACCTCTCGACGTGTTCTGTCCTCCCAGGACGTCATGTTCGACGAGTCGGTGCCCTACTACCGCCTCTTCCCCTACCGCACTCCGTCCCTCCCCCCACCCCCGCTCTTCTTGGTACCAGGTCCCCCCCCGGTAGTCCCCCTCCCCCCTCAGGGTCCTGCCCCTTCAGGTGTGTCCCAGGTAGACGCGGTCGAGCCTGTCGAGGTCACTGGTGACTCTGGTGCTGCTGCGGGAGCTGAGCCTGGGGGTGCGGAGTCTGGGGGTGCTGAGCCTGGAGGTGCCGAGTCTGGGGGTGCTGAGCCTGGGGGTGCTGAGCCTGGGGGTGCTGTGCCTGGGGGTGCCGTGCCTGGAGGTGCTGTGTCTAGGGGTGCTGAGCCCGGGGGTGCTGTGCCTGGGGGTGCTTCGTCTCGCCGGGAGCCACTCTCCCCACAGGAGCTGCGTGAGTGGTTTGCCGGGCGCTGGAGGCGTGCTGCTGGTGCTGGTGGTTCTTCGGCTGCAGAGGGCACTGCTGCTGCGCGCCCCGCCGGTGCTCGTACTGTGGGTGCTGGAGCTGCTGAGTCTGAGAGTTCTCCTGGAGCTGGTCCTGCTGAGGGTGTTGGCGCTGAGCCTGCCGTTGGCGGCCCGACTGACAGTGCTCCTGGTGCTGCGGCTGGAGGTTCTGGAGCTTCTGGTGGTGCTGCTGGAGGTGCTGCTGGAGTGGGTGCTCCTGCCGGGGCTGCTGGTGCTGTTCCTGCTGTTTCTAGCGTCGCCGCGCGGCCCCGACCGTACTTCGTTCCGCTCCTGCAGCAGGTTCTTGGTCTTACACCTCCTCCTCCTCCCTTAGAGGGTCCGCAGCCTGTCCGGTCACAGCCACAGCTACAGCCTGCCTCCCCTTTGCCTGCTCCTTCTCCCTACGCTGGTCCGACTGGAGGTCTTACTGAGCGTCGTGAGCCTGCGTCTCGTCCTGTGTCGCCTGTTCGTACTGAGCGCGCTAGTGGTCGCGGGTCGCGTCAGCGTCCTCCTCCTGTCCCTGGCACGCACCGGATGTCACTGCGTCCGTCCACTGCTCCTCTGCGTGCCCCTTTGCCTTCTCCTCCTGCTTCCTCTCTTCCTGCTCTTGCCGACCCGGAGTCGGACGCTCTTCGTGCTGCCAGTCCTACTGTCACGCGTCTCCTGGCTACTGCTGTCACTGACCCCTCCTTCGAGTCGTCTGCTGCGTCTGCCCTTGTCACTGAGCTTGTCGACTTTGCTGCGCGCTGTCGTCTAGACTACGCTGCTCGTCTTGTCACTGAGTCTGAGACCGCCTGTCCTCCGTCCGTCGGGGGTGAGTGTGCCCTTGGCACGGACGTCCTTGAGGACAGGCAGGAGGAGTTCCAGTGTCTGGCCGCCGCTTCACCTCGTCTCGCGTCTGTACTGCTAGCCCCTGAGGGAGACCCGGATGCACCAGACATCCCGACTCCGCGCTCTTACGCGGAGGCGATAGAGGGTCCCTACTCCTCTCAGTGGCAGGCAGCTATGGATGCAGAGATGGCTTCCTGGAAGTCCACAGGCACCTATGTTGACGCTGTTCCCCCTCCTGGGGCAAACATCGTCAGTGGCATGTGGATTTTCAGGGTGAAGCGGCCGCCGGGTTCTCCGCCTGTCTTCAAGGCGCGTTACGTGGCTCGTGGCTTCAGTCAGCGGCAGGGGGTTGACTACTTTCAGACCTTCTCCCCCACCCCGAAGATGACCACTCTTCGGGTTCTGCTACACGTTGCTGCTCACCGTGACTACGAGCTGCACTCTCTCGACTTCAGCACAGCTTTCTTGCAGGGCAGCCTGCACGAGGAGATCTGGCTGCGTCGCCCACCTGGCTTCACTGGGTCTTTCCCTCCTGGTACCCAGTGGAGTCTCCGGCGTCCAGTCTACGGTCTCCGCCAGGCGCCACGTGAGTGGCACGACACACTGAGGACTACGCTCGCGGCACTTGGGTTTGCTCCTTCCACTGCCGACCCGTCGCTGTTTCTGCGCACCGACACCTCTCTGCCGCCGTTCTACATCCTCGTGTACGTCGACGACTTGGTCTTTGCCACAGCTGACACTGCTGGACTCGCCTACGTGAAGTCCGAGCTGCAGAAGAGACACACGTGCACTGACCTGGGTGAACTGCGCAGCTACCTTGGCTTGCAGATCACCCGGGACAGAGCACGCCGCACCATTACCCTGACTCAGTCACACATGGTGCAGCAGGTCCTTCAGCGCTTCGGCTTCACGTACTCCTCGCCTCAGGCCACTCCTCTGCCTACTCGCCACTCGCTCTCAGCTCTGCCTTCGGATGAGTCCGTAGAGTCGAGTGGCCCGTTTGCAGAGCTTGTTGGCTGCCTCATGTACCTGATGACCTGCACACGACCTGACCTCGCATACCCTCTTAGCATTCTCGCACGCTTTGTTGCTCCTGGGAGACACCGACCAGAGCACATGGCTGCAGCGAAGAGGGTGTTGCGCTACTTGTGCAGTACGTCGGGCATGGGGCTAGTGCTTGGAGGGCGCAGTCCAGTGGTCCTCACTGGGCACGCAGACGCTTCTTGGGCTGACGACCAGGCTACGCAGCGGTCGTCACAGGGTTACACCTTCAGCCTTGGTTCCGGCTCTGTCTCGTGGCGGGCTACCCGCTCGTCTTCTGTTCTCGGCTCCAGTTGTGAGGCTGAGATCTACGCTGGGGCTATGGCTGCACAGGAGTTACGCTGGCTCACCTACCTGCTGACCGACCTTGGAGAGCAGCCTCGTTCTCCTCCAGTCCTGTACGTAGACAACAAGGCCATGCTGGCCTTGTGTCGAGAGCAGCGACTGGAGCACAGAACGAAGCACATTGCTCTTCGCTACTTTCTTGCTCGTGAGCTACAGCAGCGTGGACAGCTGCGACTTGCGTACGTGGCCTCTGAGGCCAACACTGCTGATGTCTTCACCAAGGCACTTGCGCCTTGTGATCATCAGCGTTGCTGCACGCAGTTGGGTCTTGTGCCTGTCTTGCCTCACTTGCTCTCCTCTTGACCTTGCTTGTACTTTCGCATATATATACTCTTGCTCTTGTATATCTCTATATATGATCTTGCATGTGAACTGGCCTTGTGGCCTTTGAACTTGTGCTCGGAATGCGTGGTGACTTTGTGATCCACCCTGAGCTTTGCTTTGCTTTGCTTGACCGGTCTTGTGACCCCTTGTTCTCCCCCACTTTGCCTATGGGGGTGTGTCAGAACTTATAGCTTACTTGTTTCTGTAGGCTATAGTGGGGTATCCCATAGGGGGTACAACCCAATTAGGGTTTCCTATTTGTACTCACTTCGTTCATAGTCATTCCACTTCTCGTTCGTACTTTCTCATTGTCGACCACGTGCCGACGCCACCCGTCAATCTCAGGCGTGCAGTGACGACGCTTCCTTCGACGTCAGCTGCCACACAGTGTTAACTCGGAAATTGACGAAAATGCCATGCAACTAACTTACGCCATAAATGCGACGACAGCAAAAGCTGTCCGCCACCCGGGGGGAGGGAGGCCACGGTCCATCTCGACCGTCGAGGGCAAGGATCCGTCGGTGCCGCAGGAGCGCCTTGAAATTCATGGCCGCTAGGAGCAACTACCCGTTCTCCTGGCCGGCTCTTGCGCTGCTCCTGTCACCACGGCATCCTTCCCTGTCCCCCCCTCGAGGGGTATTACACTCTTAAAAACGGGGAAGCTAGGAAAGTAGCTCTGATACCAAGTGTTATGAGTTTTACTAGACAGAGTGCGCGGAAGACTTCATAAAGAAGACGTGATTACAGAATGACGAAACAATGAAGAAAGCGAGAATATATAGGGCGAAAACTAGCTAGGCGAGAACCTCTAGATGTGCGTGGCTCGGAAATGTCGCGATTGGTGCGGGGCGACTCGGAATTGGCTCGGTGCGAAAGTGTAGGACGAGCCATCCTGATGCGAAGTGCTCGGGCTGTTCTCACTAGGAGCAGCCTCTACAGTAATGAATTGCATATTCATTACAGCTTTGCAGTTGTTGCCCAAAGTTTTACATGAGACCCTGGCCTTAACGTCGGAAGGGTTGCGTAGACGTTACATTCATATATTACAAAACATATATTAAGAAATATTACAAGCTCATCAGTTATTGATTATGGAATAACGTTACTATTCGTCTCATTGTGAAATGGGTGAAATCTCAAAACATTGATTTTGTGTATTAATTAATGTGAACAACTAAGATTGATATCTTCAATGTGATATATTGTAACATTGAACCATCAGGTTCTTGCTCTAGCAAAAGTGTGGAAAAATGTTTTGGTTCAAAATGAGTTGTTTTCCAAGTCACACAAATTTCATGTGATCATGCGTGTGTTTTCACGTGGCACCAGCGTTTTGGTTTTGGTTTAAGTTTCCAAGTGCCCAAGTTCTGTTCTGGCTTTCGGATTGCCCCATCGTTTTCGGGTTTCAATATACAAAGTTTTCACGCTTGGTCTTTCTGGAAAGTGTGAAAATTCTGTGAAGTGTTTTCGTTTTGCCCCATCGTCTTTTTCGTGTTGTGTTTCATGCGTCCTCCCCCCTCCCCAGTTCGGTTAGTGCAGTTTCTTGTTTGGCACTCCCACCTTGTCGTCGCTTCTCCTCCCCCACCACCTGTTGCCGCACCCTCCCGCCCACCTTGTCATTGCCTCCCTCCCACCCACCTCGTCATCGCCTCTCCCTCCCACCTTTCCATCGCTTCTCCCTCCCACCCCGCCATCCACTCTCCATCCCACCCCGCCATCCCCTCTCCCTCCTCCCCGCCGTCGCCTCTCCCTCCTCCCCGCCGTCGCATCTCCCTCCTCCCCGCCGTCGCCTCTCCCTCCTCCCCGCCGTCGCCTCTCCCTCCTCCCCGCCGCCGCCTCTCCCTCCTCCCCGCCGTCGCCTCTCCCTCCTCCCCTCCGTCGCCTCTCCCTCCTCCCCGCCGTCGCCTCTCCCTCCTCCCCGCCGTCGCCTCTCCCTCCTCCCCGCCGTCGCCTCTCCCTCCTCCCCGCCGTCGCCTCTCCCTCCTCCCCGCCGTCGCCTCTCCCTCCTCCCCGCCGTCGCCTCTCCCTCCTCCCTGTTGTCGCCTCCGGCGACAGGTGCCCGGAGCGCAAGTGCGAATTGGAGCGCGAGCGCGGGTTGGAGCGCGAGTGCGGGTTGGTGCGCGAGCGCGGGTTGGTGCGCCAGCGCGGATTGTTTGCTCAGGCACCGTGGTTATCAGGTGCGTCCCGGTCCTTTCATCCTCCCTCCCCCCGCTGAAATTTCCTAAATCTTCTGCTCTCCTCGTAAATTTACTGTGTCAATTGGTCTCCTCTTGCATTGCACTTTCATTTTAAGGGGAGATACGGAACGCGAGGGAGAGCGTGAGAGATTGCGTGAGGGAGAGCGTGAGAGAGCGCCTAAGAGTGCGCGCGCGAGATTGTGCGTGAGATTGCGCGTGATAGAGCGCGTGAGAGTGCGCGTGATAGAGCGCGTGAGAGTGCGCGTGATAGAGCGCGTGAGAGTGCGCGTGCGCTTGAGAGAGCGCGTGATAGAGCGCGTGATAGAGCGCGTGAGAGTGCGTGTGCGCGTGAGAGAGCGCGTGATAGAGCGCGTGAGAGTGCGCGTGAGAGTGCGCGCGTGAGAGTGCGCGTGAGAGAGAGCGTGAGAGTGCGCGTGAGAGTGCGCACGTGAGGGGGCGCGTGAGAGAGCGCGTGAGGGAGCGCGTGAGGGAGGGCATGAGAGTGCGCATGAGAGAGCGCACGTGAGAGAGCGCGTGAGAGTGCGCGCGAGAGCGCGCGTGAGAGAGCGCGTGACGGAGCTTGTGAGAGTGCGCCTGAGAGTGCGCGTGAGAGAGCGCGTGAGAGAGCGCGTGAGAGAGCGCGTAAGAGTGCGCGTGAGAGTGCGTGTGCACGTGAGAGAGCGCGCGTGAGAGTGCGCGTGAGAGTGCGCGTGAGAGTGCGCGTGAGAGAGCGCGTGAGAGTGCGCGTGAGAGAGCGCGTGAGGGAGCGCGTGAGAGTGCGTGTGCGCGTGAGAGAGCGCGTGAGAGTGCGCATGAGAGCGCATGACAGAGCGCGTGAGAGTGCGTGTGCGCGTGAGAGAGCGCGTGAGAGTGCGCATGAGAGGCCACGTACGAGGCCACGTGAGAGGGCAGGTGAGAGAGCACGTGAGAGAGCGCGTAGCGCATGAGAGAGCGCGTGAGAGTGCGCGTGAGAGACGTGTGAGGGAGAGTGTGAGGGAGCGCGTGCGTGAGAGTGCGCGTGAGAGTGCGCGTTAAAGAGCGCGTGGGAGAGGGCGTGAGAGTGTGCGTAAGGGTGCGCGTGAGAGTGCGTGTGAGAGGCCGCGTGTGAGGGCATGTGAGAGAGCGCGTGAAAGTGCGCGTGAGAGTGCGCGTGAGAGTGCGCATGTGAGAGAGCGCGTGAGGGTGCGAGTGAGAGTGCACGTGAGAGTGCACGTGAGAGTGCGCGTGAGAGTGCGCGTGAGAATGCGCATGTGAGAGTGCACGCGTAGAGTGCGCGTGAGAGAGCGCATGAGTGTGCGCGTGAGAGCACGCGTGAGTGAGCGCGTGAGAGAGCGCGTGAGAGTGCGCGTGAATGTGTGCGTCAAGGTTAAAAAAAACGACCGTATTTTTGAAAATTTGCCGTAAAAAACGGTACCGTAAAAAACGGCCGTAAAAAACGGTAAAAAACGGTTCCAAAAGGTGATTTTCGTCTAAAGAAAAAATCAGCCACAATATGGGACCAAATTGATGGGAAAAACCACCAGGATGAAGAGGACGATCCCCTCTTTGCTTGTGTGCATGCGTAAGCATGATCGAAAATGTATTCGACCTTGTTTTTGCCTTTTTTTTCTTGGTGATAAGAGTTCTCTAACAAAAAAACGGCCGTATTTTTTGAAAATTTACCGTAAAAAACGGACCGTAATTTAAGATTACCGTATTTTTGAACCTTGGTGTGCGTGAGAGTGCGTGTAAGAGAGCGTGTAAGAGTGCGCACGTGTAGAGAGTGTGAGAGCGCGTGAGAGTGTGCGTGAGTGCGCGTGAGAGAGCGCGTGAGAGTGCATGTGCACGTGAGAGAGCGTGTGAGAGGCCGCGTGAGAGGGCAGGTGAGGGAGCGCGTGAGAGTGCGCGTGAGAGTGCGTGTGAGAGTGCGCATGTGAGAGTGCACGCGTAGAGTGCGCGTGAGAGAGCGCGTGAGTGTGCGCGTGAGAGCGCGCGTGAGTGAGCGCGTGAGAGAGCGTGTGATAGTGTGCGTGAGTGCGCGTGAGAGTGCGTGTGAGAGGGTGTGTGAGAGAGCGCGTGAGAAAGCGCATGAGGGAGCGCGTGAGACAGCGCATGAGAGAGCGCGTTAGAGAGCGCGTGAGAGAGCCCGTGAGTGGGTGTGAGAGAGCTTGTGAAAGCGCGCCGTGAGAGAGCGAGTGAGAGAGCGCGTTAGAGTGCGCGTGAGAGCGCGTGAGACAGCGTGTGAGAGAGCGCGTGAGAGACGCGTGGGGAGCGTGTGAGAGAGCGCGTGAGAGTGCGCGTGAGAGTGCTCGCGAGAGTGCGCGTGAGAGAGCGCGTGAGAGCGCGCGTGAGAGTGCGCATGAGAGTGCGCGTGAGAGTGTGCGAGAGAGTGCGCGTGAGAGAGCGCGTGGGAGAGCGTGTAGGTTTGTGTGTTTGTTTTTGAGAGTGTCTAAGAAAGTTGAGAGTATTTGTGTGTCTGTGTGAGTGGGTGCAAGATTGAGTATAAGAGTGAGTGCGAGCGTGAGTGTGAAGTTGAACGTGAGGGTGGTTGCAAGGTATTGCCTCATGTTGGCGTAGTACTGTGTTGCCACACCATTTTACCTCTGTGAGTTGACAAATTCCCATTGCTTGTCTTTGATTGATCTATGCGTTTTTCAACAACTTTTTTATACTCTTGTTATTTCGTTTCAAGTGCATGTGTGAGCTGCATTCTCTTTGTTTTTGCTTTATGCGGGTGAGTTGCGTTTCCTGCTTGGCCTCCTCGTAGGGAAGCATTATATGTTTAATTGATTTCTTTGTACAGTGTATGAACATTCTTGGATTTTGCCTTTTTCTTGTGCAGGGCGCGTGCTTTGTGTTCTCTGTTTTTGCTCTGTGCAGGGCGCGTGAGCTGCATTCTTTGCTTTTGTTTGGCAGAGAAGGGAGATGAGGGAGGGGGTGGGAGGGAGATGAGGGATGGAGGGAAGGAGGGGTGTAGGGAGGGTAAAGGGGGATAGGCTAGCGATGGTGAATGAATTCTTGTTTGCGCCTTTATTATCTGTATGTATTTGTGCTTGTTTGTATGTGTGCCAGTGTGTGCGTGTGTGTCAGTGTGTGTGTTTGTGTGCCTGTGTGTGTGATATGTACAGTCGTTTGTTTGTACAAAGTCACGTGTGCTTGTTGAAGTAGTGTGATGTTAAAGTGTGCCGGGTCTGCATTTGAGATGGGGATCGTTGTTGGGGCAACGTTGCTTGCCTTAGCATACCATAACCAACTCTTTTGTAGCACCGATGCATTTTAGCATTCACTCATACTACGTGTTGTCACACCTTATGACTGTTGATATGTGTCATCGTTTATCGTCTGTTGTTTGTGTAATTTCGTTGTGATGCTAGATTGGGTCGGGTCTGCATTTGAGATGGGGATCGTTGTTGGGGCAGCGTTGCTTACTTTAGCATACCGTCTCCCCCCGGATATAAGCGCCACCCTAGGATAAGCGCCTGGCGCTTCTAATTGGCATATGGCGCTTATATCCCCTCCTCGATTATAAGCGCACCCCTTGAAAAAACTTGTTTTATTATAAGCGCACGTAAATTTAGAATTTTGAAATGTGTTCAAAAAGCTGTAACGATTTTTACTTTAGCAGGCGGATATGTTGCAGATTCGGTTCCCTTCACATTCGGACCCTGCACTGGATGCGGGTCCAGTCAGCAGGACCTGTCAGGAGCTGGATGTGAGTCAGATTGGGTGTATCTCCCAGCGCGCGCGAGAATTTCACAGACGATCCCATGTAACTTCGACTCGATTGAAAAGGCAAGCACGAGACCTACAGTTTGGTGTTAAAAGATATAAAAAAATATGTATGTCATTTTATAAACGCCGGCGCTTATAAATTTACTCGATTATAAGCCCACCCCCATGAAAAAACCTGTTTTATTATTGCCCCCCATGGGGGTATATCCGGGGGGAGACGGTACCAGAACCATCTCTTTTATAGCACCGATCCATTTTAGCATTCACTCATACTAGTGTTTTCACACCGTATCACTGTTGATATGTGTCATTGTTTATTGTTTGCCGTTTTGTGTAATTATGTTGTGTTGTGTGATGTTAGATTGGGTCGGGTTTGCATTTGAGATGGGGATCGTTGTTGGGGCAGCGTTGCTTGCCTTAGCACACCAAAACCATCTTTTCTGTAGCACTGATCAGGCCCTCAGATTCGTTTTTGGCCTGTCTGATTCGTCAGACTAGTACACAATTTTAGTCTGAAAATCTCAGAGCTGGTTTTAAAAAAAGGCTGAAATTTCAGAGTGTCCTAAAAAAAGTCTGATCATTCATAAACAATGTATTTAATGTTTCATCGGAATGTAATCAATGTTTCATTCATCTGCTACCGAAACACACAACACTAAGGGGATTTCCGATAAAACATGCTCTGACAGGGCGAATATATGTGTCAGGGCGAATCTTGTGGTGCGAAAGAGCGAATCTGCAATGTCAGGGCGAGTTTTCTGTGATTGGTCGAAAATTGTTGTGCTCTGACAGCGCAAATCTGTTGTGTCAGGGCGATTTTGCTATGATTGGGCGAAAGTCTTGTGCTGTAAGGCTCAGATTTGCTGTGTCAAGGCGATTTTGCGTTGACATTGCGAATCTGTTGTGACCCGTAAGTCCGAATCACCAGTCAAGGACGCGTTTGTACTCTGAATGATCAGAGTACACTCTCAGAAAACTCTGAACTCTCAGAGTTTGCCTTAAAAAAAGTCTGAAAATTACAGAGTTTGGGCCCAAAAAAGTCTGATTTTAACAGAGTACACTGGAAAAAAAATCTGAAATATCAGAGTTTTTTTGTGCAAATCAGAGAAAAAAGTCTGACTTCGTAGGGCCTGGCACTGATCCATTTTAGCATTCACTCAAAGTACTGGGTATGCGTTCTTTTCCACGTGTTGGGTTGGGTGGGTGTTGTCTCGTCAATTGTGTTGGGTGTTGTTGGGCTGAGGATTTCAGCCTTAGGATCTTTGCAGAGAATAGGCTAGTAGGTGCAAGAGTAGCACAGCGGAAGACTTGAGTGAATGTACTTGTGCTGGTATGTGAGAACAAGTAATTGATTAAAGCAAAGAGCATACAGGAATATATAGAAAAGATAGATTACAGGAAGCAGTTATGTTTATCGAGACGCGTAACGCTTCGACTATTGAGGCGGTTACTGTTCACTGAAGCGTTGCCTGCTGTTGCGTAACCTCCAGGCGGTTACGGCTCGCAACTTCCAGTTGCGGTTTGATGTGGTACGCGCCTTTTCGACTTCATACTCCTTTTGTTGTGCTTCAGTATCGGGTGAGGTTCGATACTACAGAAACGCACTAAGTCATCCGTTTATATTCCCAACACTCCCCTTCGTTTCTGGAGTGTCGACGTGGTCAGCTTCGGTGACGTGGCTCAATCCGGTG